AATTGAGATATGCACACAAAAACAAGAACAACTAACTTGTTAATAAGTAAAACTGTAAATCTTTGGGTTAGGATCTTATCTGTAGGTTAACTTCAAATAAACCTCAATGACACACACTCACACAAAATAACAAACTTGTTAATAAGTAAAACTGTAAATCTTTGGGTTAGGAACTTATCTGTAGGTTAACTTCAAATTAACCTCACTGAAACACACACACACACAAAACAACAAACTTGTTAATAAGTAAAACTGTACATCTTTGGGTTAGGAACTTATCTGTAGGTTAACTTCAAATTAACCTCACTGAAACACACACACACACACAAAACAACAAACTTGTTAATAAGTAAAACTGTATATTATTGGGTTAGGAACTTATTTTTAGGTTAACTTCAATTTTACCTCACTGAGACACACACAAAAAAACAAGAACGACAAACTTGTTAATAAGTAAAACTGTAAATCTTTGGGTTAGGAACTTATCAGTAGGTTAACTTCAATTTTATCTCACTGACACAGACACACAAAACAACAACAACAAACTTTTAATAAGTAAAAACTGTATATCATTGGGATAGGAACTTAGTTGTAAGTTAACTTCAAATTAACCTCACTGACACACACACGCACAAAACAACAAACGTATTAATAAGTAAAACTGTAAATCTTTGGGTTAGGAACTTATTTGTAGGTTAACTTCAATTTAACCTCACTGACACACACACACACAAAACAACAACAATAAACTTTTTAATTAGTAAAACTGTAAATCATTGGGTTAGGAACTTATTTGTAGGCTAATTTTAATTTTACCTCACTGACACACACACACACAAAACAACAACAACAACAACAAACTTGTTACAGAGTAAAACTGTAAATCATTGGGCTAGGAACTTAGTTGTAGGTTAACTTCAATTTAACTTCACTAACATTCACACACAAAACAACAACAACAAACTTGTTAGTAAGTAAAAACTGTAAGTCTTTGGGTTAGAAGTCTAGTTGTAGGTTAACTTCAGTTTGACCTCACCGACACACACACACACACACAAACAAACGTGTTAGTAAGTAAAACTGTAAATCATTGGGTTAGGAACTTATTTGTAGGTTAATTTTAATTTTACCTCACTGACATACACACACACAAAACAACAACAACAAACATGTTAATAAGTAAAACTGTAAATCTTTGGGTAAGGAACTTATTTGTAGGTTAACTTCAATTTAACCTCACTGACACACACACACACACAAACAACAAACTTGTTAGTAAGTAAAACTATAAATCATTGGGTTAGGAACTTATTTGTAAGATAACTTCAAATTAACCTCACTGACACACACACACAACAAAAAAACTTGTTAGTAAGTAAAACTATAAATCATTGGGTTAGGAACTTATTTATAAGATAACTTCAAATTAACCTCACTGACACACACACACACACACACAAAACAACAAACTTGTTAATAAGTAAAACTGTAAATCTTTGGGTTAGGAACTTATCTGTAGGTTAACTTCAACTTAACCTCACTGACACACACAAACAACAAACTTGTTAATAAGTAAAACTGTAAATCTTTGGGTTAGGAACTTATTTGTAGGTTAACTTCAATTTTACCTCACTGACACACACACACACACACACACACACTAAACAACAACAACAAATTTAATAAGTAAAACTGTAAATATTTGGGTTAGAAACCTAGTTGTGGGTTAACTTCAGTTTGACCTCACTGACACACACACACACACACACACACACACTAAACAACAACAACAAATTTAATAAGTAAAACTGTAAATATTTGGGTTAGAAACCTAGTTGTGGGTTAACTTCAGTTTGACCTCACTGACACACACACACACACACACACACACACTAAACAACAACAACAAATTTAATAAGTAAAACTGTAAATATTTGTGTTAGAAA